GGTGCCGCTCCGATCGTTAAGGCCAAAGTTCAATTGCCGAACTGCCTCCCGGTGATCGGGTTGATGTTTCCTTGCTAAACGTTTCGCCACGCGTTGTCGAAAAGCATCCCCGGCCGCAATGCCGCGCAGATTATTGTTGGGCTTCTTCAGGGCAGTCAACGTGGGTGCCAGCATGGGGCCACGGGTATCCAGTGGGATACGCGCATGGGCAACTCGTTCTGCCACGTCGCGCAACGTGATTTCCACGCGTGGTGAAAACGCGCGCCGACGCAGTCGCGCGCGCTGCCGTCAAGTGTACACCGCCAGTGATGAAGAATGGGCTTGCGTGGGCGGGGCGGAGGAGGGCGACGTGAGTCTTGCGTGGGATCGTTGGGTCGGTCGTGGCGTCGATGCCCGCGTGCATTTTGAGTGCTGGGAACAATGGCAGGGGCGAATTTGTGGCGCCAGTCGGCGCCCGTGCTATGACGGCACAGCTAATGACCTCTGCCTCTCATGGCTCCGGTCCTCTAGGCGCGAGCGCGACGATGCCCCGCGGACCGAAGGCGGCGCGCCACCCATGCCAGATTGTGCGGATCTTTCAGTATTCCTTGGGGGCCGCGTCAAGGCTAAACTCTGGGATCGTATCATCATCGCGTTTCGTCGCGTGAAGCGTGCTCTCGCGGGCCATCTTGGAATCTGGTACTTCAACGTGCTAGGCCTCGTCCTGCGTCAATGCTAGGGCATCTCTGTCGGAGGCCGATTAGCGGTGCCAGTTTGCAGTGTTTTCTGAGCTTGAGTGGCCCCTGCTAGAAGCGAGCCCCTTCGATTGATGCGAGGAGTGACCAGAAGTCGTTTCATTGGCGACCTCGTTTCGGCTTTGTGGACGATGTGCCACCAGTGGCTCCCACTACACGACGAGCGAGTTTATGATGAAGGGATTCGATTATATTGTGAAGACGCATGCAGAGGCTCGGAAAGGTCCTCGAGGCGCGTTGCGTGCGCTTAGAACAAGCGAGTGTGTGAGTTATCCATAGTCGCGAGGTGTTTGATTTCAACGGGGGCTCCGTGAATGTCGCGAAGACATCGGTGTGCCCGTATCTGGGGGCCTTAGCAACAACGAGCCCAATTGCGCGCGCCGCGTGCCGATCTGAAAGGGTGGCTGCGGATGTGGGAATGCATGAGCCGGCTGTTTCTAGCTTGCTGTTTCTAGCAAACAGTGATTATTTTACGACGGTGATGGATCATCTATCGCGTCGTATCGAACCCCCTAGCAAGTTGAGCTCGTGATTGTCTGAATCTGGTGTGCCGCTTGCTCTCCCATCTCGTTCCGCACCCCGACTGTTGCGCTGCAGTCTTTGGTCAAATCATGTTGAAGGCGAACAGTTTTATATAATTATTCTATCCCGAGGAACCATCTCGTGAGTCCGCCGTGGGCAGCGGGGGTGGCCGGGTCTCGCAGGAGGCCTTGCGGCTTCAGAGATGGCAGAAGTCTTCGGGCCGCGCTTCTCCTGGCAACGGCGGCGTGGCCAGAGCTGGCGTCTTCGCCCCTCAGTGTCGCGGGCGTTTCACTTCGATGGCTATGGATATATCGCCTTCATAGGACGCACGGGGGCGATTGGAGGGGCGTCGACGCTCGGTGCTCTATTGGTCCGACAGAGTGGAGGTCAGCCTGCAGGAGGTCAGATGCCCGTCCAGCCGGCAGCATCTGCAACGGTCGCGACGGGGGCGTCGGCAGGTTGCACCGACGGTTGGCGCGCCCTTGCCGGCAGTGGAGCTCGCGACGGGGATGGTTTCGGTGCTCGACGGGGGCCAGAACCAGCGCGGAAAGCAAGATATCCGCGTTCAGCACGCAGCGAGCTGACTGGAGGAGTTGGCGCGTGCAACCTTGTCGTCCTCCTCGAACTTCGATGAGCAGCTGGGACAGTCGGTGGCCTTTGGGATGAAGGAGCCCCGCGTGTCGGTGATGGGTTCCGTCGACGTACAGGACGCGCATATGGCCGCGCTGCGCCGTCGGGGAGAGGAGATGGCGCGCGCTCGTCCAGGGCGCTGCTGAAGCTGATGGCGGCCTCGATGTGCGTTGCGGCCCCTGCGGGTCTACCCGCGGCGCCGAGGGCGGGTCCTGCCCCGCCTGGCGCCGGCGGAGCGCCGGCCGCAGCCTTGTCCGCGCCGCTCGGTGGGGGCGGCGCCCAGCCCGTGGCCGGCATTGGATGTGGTCGCCCACGTCGGGCAGTTGGGCTATTTGGGAGTGGGTCGAGGGCAGACGCAGTGGCGCTGGCGGCCGGGGCTGCGGGCAGTCTTCAGGCGCGGGCTGGTGGCGGAACGTGTCCAAGACGAAAGGGCTCGGCCAATGGAAGACCGAGCTCTGGGCCTTCGGCTGTTCAGCGGCAGAGACGAACGCAGTGGCCCACTCCGAGAATCTGGCGGGCAGATCTACGCGAGGCTCACAGACGAGGGGGGGTGGCGCGGCACCGACCTTCAGAGCGTTCGCACCCAGTGTGTCTCGCAGCTGCCAAGCCCTTCCCGGTGGTCTCGCCACCTATCTCTTTGCATCGCCCTTATTTTCTAGCGCAGACTGTCTGGGGATTCGCGTTGCGCTGTCTCGGTCACCCTCCCGACTTTTGGAGGTTGCTGGTTCTTGAGTGACCTCGTAGCCGCTGCTGAGGAAGGTATGAAAGAATGTCTACGGAAGCCACGCATGTTGTCCTAATTATTATTATTATTATTATGATTATGATGATGATTATTATTATTATTATCATCATCATTATCATTATTATTATTGTTCTTATTTATTTATTTATGTATTTTCTTATTTATTTATTTATGTATGTATGTATTTATTTATTTTTTTATTTATTATCATTAGTATTATTATTATTATTATCCGTAAGGGCTTCGCCCCCTGCCGCCGGCCCCCTCTCTCGGAGAATGGGCCATGGGAGAGCTAAGTCATGAGGCTTTGGCGCTGTCGTGCAGCAGTATCGGAACTTCATGCGAGGCCGATTCGCAATCGGCAAAACCAACTGATCACAAGAGGGGTTACCACACAGGGCGATTGGTAAGACGTGTATGGTTTACGAGCTTGGTTACCACACCTTGGGATTAAAGGGCCGAGGGAGTACTCGCAGTTTGGGTTACCACGCCTTGCGATGGATGTGCGTGAGGGGTGGCACCGAATTTCAGAAATGTGGCAAATCCCCTGTGTTTTTGGACCCTGACCCCGCGGATCTGCGTGAGGGGTGGCACCGAATTTCAGAAATGTGGCAAATCCCCTGTGTTTTTGGACCCTGACCCCGCGGATCTGCGTGAGGGGTGGCACCGAATTTCAGAAATGTGGCAAATCCCATGTGTTTTTGGACCCTGACCCCGCGGATCTGCGTGAGGGGTGGCACCGAATTTCAGAAATGTGGCAAATCCCCTGTGTTTTTGGACCCTGACCCCGCGGATGTGCGTGAGGGGTGGCAACGGTTTATATTCAGCTGTGTCAGGTTTAGTGTAGAGCTCAAGCCGGCGATATCGGCGCACACGACTTGGGTCTGATATGGAGTTCTGGAGCGACGAGAGAATATGTAATTGACTGTCGAACGCGATGGGAGGTCAACTAATCTCTGAGCAGTTCCGTATTCACTTTCAAGTGTGTGTGTGTGTGTGTGTGGACGGACAAACGCAGGTGGGGGGAGGGAAAGGATCGGGTGGGGAGGGAAGGAATGGGTTCCGGAAAAGGTCAAATAATTGGGGGAGGGGAAAAGAGATGGAAAATGCAGTGTGCGGTGGGTGGGTGGGTGGGTGGGAAAAATCGGGGCCGGGGAAGGAAACTCGGGGTTGGTGGCGGGGGGGAGGAAAGGCAAGATGGGGGAGGAAAATAAGGGGATGGGGGGAGGGAAACGGGATGGGGAGGAGGGACAAAGGGGCAAATGCGGGTTGGCGGGGGGGGAGGAAAAAATGTGAGAGGAGGGGAAAAGAGAGGGTAGGGGGAGGAACAACGGGGGCGTGGTCCATTCGGGAACGCGTCCAGGGAACCGTCCGAGGACCATCATGCTGGACCTGAAGGACGCGAAAGAGAACGCCCAACGGGACATCGCCGACAAAACCGCCCAGGCGCAGCGAAAGCTGAAGGCGGCGGCGGACGACAAGAAACAGCTCTCCGCCACAGGGGCTGTCATGGAGGCGAACAAGAAGACCCTGAAGGGCATGACGGCCGAGTGCTTCGAGAAGGACCTGTCGTTCCAGGAGAAGCAGAAGTTGCGCAAAGAGGAGATCGAAGCGCTCGGGAAGGCGGTCGAGATCATGTCCTCGCCAGAGGTCGCGGGGGCGGCGGGCCAACACCTCTCGTTGGCCCAGCTGCCAGCCAGGGGTGGCGTCGCCCTGGTCCAGGCCTCGCGTTCCGCCGCGGAGGCAGGTCGCGGGGTCCGCCGCCGCGTGCGGGAGTTCCTGCGGAAGGAGGGCGGTCGGCTGAAAAGCAAGTCCCTGGTGCTGCTGGCGGACAAGATGCTCACCGACCCTTTCGCCAAGGTCAAGAAACTCATCGACGGCATGATCACGCGGCTGCTAGAAGAAGCGAAAGAGGACGCGGACCACGAGGGGTTTTGCGACGAGGAGATGGGTAAAAGCAGGGTGACGCGCACGCGGCTGCAGGAGGATATCGACGCCCTCGACGCGGCGGTCGAGGACGGCAAGGCCAGCATCCTGGCTCTGACAGAGAGCACTGGCGAGCTCACTAAGGAGGTTGCGGAACTCGTCGCCGCGATGAAGGAGGCCGGCGAGATACGCGATAATGAAAAGAAGGCCAACGCCCACACCGTGGAGGATGCCAAGGCAGCGCAGGAAGCGGTCAGCGCAGCCAAGGTCGTGCTCGAGGAATTCTACAAAAAGGCGGCTACTGCCACGGCCTTCGTCCAGGTCCGCCGTGTGGGGGGATCCTCCCCGGGGGGCCCCACGGAGAGTCGTAGAGGCTCCAGGAGGCCGGGGCGGGGAGAGGAGGAAGTGGTGGCGTGGGTGGTGGGGGAGGACTCGGCGGAGGGTGGTGGGTTGGTGGCGGTGGTGGAATGCAGCAAAACAGCGTCATGACTGCGTGGCGGGGGTCGAGCGTAAGACCACAGCCCGAGGTAACCGCCTCCTTCCTCCTCCCCTCCCCCTGCTTGCATCTGCAGCTGCACCATTTGAACACTACGTTCCTTTCCGCCCTGGTACTGCCAAGGGCTTTGCCCCCGCCTCCCCCGCACTTTCCCCACACAGTGCTTGCGCTCAGGGGCTCTGCGCGGGCTTCTGGGTTTCTGTACGGGCTTCCGCGTTTTCGCCTGGCCGCCGCCTCGCGGCCGCCTCGTCGCCGCCTCGTGTGCTGGCGGGCGCCTCCGCGGTCGCGCAGGGTCGCGACCTCGCGGCCGCCCGTGGTCGCCTCGTCGCCGCCCGTCGCTGCTCCGTCGCCGCCGCGGGCCCCGGGGGGCGTTGCTGGGGTTGCGTTCGCTGGCCGCCCGCGGCCGCCCGTGGCCGCCTCGGCGCCGCCTGGTCTTCTGTCGCGCGATTGTGCCGTATTACTTCCATCGCATACCTTCTACCACGCAGCTTGCAAAGCGTAGGTTATGCGACATGTGATTCCACCTCGTAGCTTGCACCACACTGCTTTCACCGGATTTTTTCTACATCTACAGTACGACATTTGCTCCTACCACATCCCAGTTTTAGAGAAGAAACTGGTTTGCAAGAGTGGGCCAGCTGCCGCCACGGCCCTCGCAGCAACTTGCCGGAGCCTGCGGCGTGTCCCAGATGCGGTTTTCAACTCTTTCCCAATACGTGTGCCGCAATCCTTTGCGCAGTTCCTTCGCAGCGCCTCCTGGGCTCGCGCGCAGCTCCCATTTCAAGCTTGCAAGCTAAGCTTGCAGGGCATCCGTTCAAGCTTCTTTGCAGGCGTCTCCCACAAACCTGCGGGCTGCTCGGATTGCTCCGGTTGCGCGCCAGACGGCGCTGCTATCCAGGTCTTGGATTACACAGGTAGTTTGCACCACGTTGCTTCCGCGACATCGTTTTCACATCCTCATTGAACTAGCTCATAGTTTTGGGTTCAGGCCGACAACCGTTATTTCTCTTCACGCGTGTGTTTGATTGCACCCGCTGCAGCGTTGGCAGCATTTCCAGATCGGTGCTTTGCTGCCATCGATCTGAAAGAGTGGCGCTGTCTCCCCAGCGCGGGCCACGCTTCTGGTTCCGATTCCTGCCATGTCTTTGCCGCCTTCCGTTGCTCCTCGTGCTCATACTGCTGCTGATCCAGTCAATTCACCCCTTCCGCACCACCATCCTTTCGCCCTGTCTGCTCCCTTGCCTCGCGCGCACTGCCTGATGAACTGACTGCTTCTGCTTCCGCTTCTATACCACTTTGGCTCTAGGGAAAAAGGAAAAAAGGAGCGAGCCTGCGGCGCGCGCTCGTGCGTCTGCCGGCGGGCCGGCCTCCTCCCTTCAGTGTTGCTTTACTGTACGGTTGACGGCATTATCCCTTCTTCTCCATGTCATCGGCGGACCATGATATTTTATCGGAACATCTTGCAGGGACTATGAATATCCAGGCAAATGACTGGTTACCTGCCGAAGCGATGGCACAGCTGTTAGCTTCGCAGAGCATGGGATCACATGAAGGAGCGCTCGGACGATCAGACGATCAATACCCTTCCGAGCGTAATGAAAGTGTAGGTGACTCAGCGAGGCGACCAAATTCTTTCAGCCCTCCCAGGAAGCAAGCATCAGAGACTTTGCTTGATTTGACAGAACTGGATTCATCGGTAAATTCGGTGACAAGGTCCGGGGTGCAATCTTCGGGCGGAAATTTTGGCGCAGCCAGAACATCCGCCGAGGGGCCATCTGAGTTGGTGTCGGTACACTCGGGCGTTCAGCCATCTATCGACCTAGATCCTGAGATGGAGAAGGTGTTTGACCATGTCCCCGTAGGAATGTCGGGCGCCGAAAGTCTAGGCGCAAGACGCGCGGCGCAGTTCGCGTTGCATGGACAGAGCGAGGATGTTAGCGACTTGCAATCGGAAGGAGGCAGTTCTCATTCGATTGAAAAGAATGAAGAATTTGACCGATTCCGCACCTCTCCTGGTCCATCGCGTCATCTCGATCCTCTCCCCGGTCGGTGTGTTGGGCTCGCCTCAGGCGCATGCCCGTTAGTGAGTGCGACGATTGACGATGTAACGGTTGAGGCCAGTCAGAAGGGCATTCTTGATTCGGGTGACGATCTCGAAGACGGAAGAAGCCCAGGCCGAGGTGGATGCTCGTCGGCGCAGCCGATGTCGAGCTACCCCGACGTCGTACGTGCAGTGAGGAATACGCGAGGAACTACAGGCATGACTCCCCATTCATTGACGCAGAAGCCTAAGGATGCGAAAGATGACTAAACTACTTCGCCCTTATTGCAGGTTTCTACCGCCCAGACTTCTCGTTGCCAAGGACTCAAGGGCAGAGTGCCAGAACTTGATGAGCTCGTAATGCAGGGCGAAAGAGACGATTTTGCACAGAGTAGGGACGTTGATTTCATCGAGAGGGATGTGGGAACAAGAGAACAACACGCGCCTACCCCCAGCAGTGAACGGGGGCGTTCCAGTGAGGCCCCCAGGGCAGGACGTTCCAGTTCCAGGGGTTTAATGCCCTTGAACTGCCGCGGGTGTCATCGAATAGAACCGCCGGCAGCTTCTCGATGCGGGGGGGCTCTGCTGGAACGCCGGGCCCGCGTGCCCTACTGGGGCGGAGAATCGATGCCCAGGGAAGGCGCAAAAACCGGGGGGTTCATGTAGAAGGCCAGTGTGCTCTCAATGTTCAAATGCTTTCCCCAAATGTAGTCTGGCATGGTTTCGTGAGGCGTGTGTCGCGATGGAAGAGCGCAACTGCCGCCGTATTGCAATTCAACAGTGGGCGGAAAGAAGTAGACAGGATCGAGAACAGTTGGGGGCCGCGAGCGCGCATGTGCAACATGTCATCATTGAGGCGCTGGAAGATAATGGGGCCGCCGAAGAGGCTAAACGCGTGCTTGCAGTTTCCGAGGCAGAGATGCAGGCAGTGGCGCACAAGGTGGAATAGGAGAAAACCGTCATTGTGGAAAATGCGCAGGAACGGATGCAGCATGCTGAGGCTAGCGTGGCAGGAGTTGCAGGCGAAGCCCAACGGCGCCTTTCCCGAGAGGAGAGTGAAATATTGAGAATCCAGAGCATAGCCGAACAACTAGTGTCAGACTCCCAGCGGAAGGCTGAGTTGGAGAAAACCGAATATAGAGAAATGGCTGATGCAGCCAGGGGGGAAGGAGAGAAAAGGGGCCCGAGAACTAGCGGCGCGAGGAAAATCAGGAGCTCCGCAATCCATTCGAAGCTGCTAAACTCGAGGCCGAAAGAGTAATATAGGGGGCCCTGCGAGCCCGTCCAGAACCAGAACAGAAGGCCCAGGTAACGAGAGATGAGAACCAAAAAAGAATGGCCGTTGCCTGGGGTCGTCTGAAAGGGCACGCAGATGAGCAGATAAGAAGCAATGTTCTTGCCACTTGGTCCGTGAGTGAGGAAAACAGAAGGTTAATGTCTGACCTGGAGCAACATTGGATTGGCAAAGAATCGCGGGGTGAGATTCAACTATCCGGGCGACCCGAGACTGAATCTTTGACAACAGTAGGGCAAATGACTCCGGCTTCACCGGTAGAAGTGGACCCCGGGGAAGAGGTCGGATCAACGCCCGCGTAGCCGGCGCGCGTTGAGCCGCCTCCTCATCCGATCTTTGCTCGCCCCATTAGGAAGCCTGGCGCCTGGCAAGCTCAACCGCGAGCGGGCGCTCGAGTCAGACCTGTCACCTCTGTGCAGAACCTTCAACCGAAGTATGCGCGGATTGTTTGAGGCGTGCATGTAGGGATCATCTGGATATGAGTGCCAAACGTTGTCAAGAATGCGATTGGAAGAAAGCGTTTGGACAACGGGATGATCGTGATACTCAGCGGGTAAGCAACGATCCCGATGAAAAGGCACCGAGACACTCGGCTTCGCCTGGGGATGTTGAACCCGAGCGCCAGATGATCAATCTTGCCGATATTATGGGCATGCCAGTATTTAATTCAGAAAAGTCGGATCTAGGTAAGATGCCGATGCTGACCGCTCCGTCCATGCCAACGCTTCCTCTCGCAAAATCGCCTCTCATTCCTGGGCCGGCTGTCGAGGAGACCCTTGGGGCGTGCGAAGGTCCGATGCGGGGGTGTGCCCGGGGAACAATTCGTGGATATCAGAGCCTCCTAGCAACCTCGACTTGCCTGGACACCTTCCTTTCGCCATCGGCCCAGCCTTTGCTGGTGAAGGAGGTGGGGGCTCGGGAGGCCGCGGCGACGATCAGAGAGACGATCAGAGTGCAGCCCCCAGCGCAGGCATGATCGTTGCGATGCAGTTTGATGAAGCGGGTGGGCCCGAGCCACCTAGAGGCCCCCCAGGGGGGCCTGGCGGCGACGGTGATCCAGGCGGAGACGGCGGTGGGGGGGCCGAATGGCCACAATAACCTGTCCTGGCGGCCGTCTCGCGCTAGTCAAATGGGCGTAAATTGGAGGAGTTTTGGGAACAGCAAAGAACTAAACTTGCTCGACATGCCGAGCGTCCAGACACTCCGAGAATGGGAGCAACATTGCATAATCGCGGTAGCTGGATCATGGTATAATGTTCGCGCGGCGTAGACATGGATCACAGAGGCCCTGGGGCTTAATGTACCGGCAGAAAATCTTAGAGACTCCTGGCCATTGATGCGCCTTGATATGGTGATCGCTACAAATCTGCTCGAGAAGTTTGCAGAGATGAAGCGTGGCCAACGCCTGTCGGTTCAGTATCCTCATTTCCTTTCGCAAATCAATCGCATGAAGCGTGCATGAAGCGTTCTTGCCAGATAGAGGGGCGTCT